ATTGTAAAATAAGAAAAAAGTTTTCGAATTATACTAACAGCATAAGATGCTCTGTTTCGTCTATTAATTCCTTTACGATTATCTCACTGTCTTTTCCTTTATATTCCAAGAAACTGCGAATTATTTTTTTTCCATCATTGTTTGTGATTGATCCCTTTCGGCCATGTGAAGTCTTACGATGCAGCAGGCGAGGAATTCTATGTTGAAATGCCTGTTCTCCTTGGTATACTGTTGTCCATTCATTTTGTAAATCATTGTTGGTGGTTGTTAGTGCATCAAGAGCAGAAACTCGATCTCGATTATTCCAATTGGCCTCTTTTGATGAGCTTAAAAGAAAAAAAAGAAGTTGATAGTTTAAAAAAAATGACTGAAAATCTAGTAATAGACGTTGGATATTTCGAGAAATGTAATTCATTAGCAACTATTATGGTAAGGAGATAACTAATGTTCAAGCAAATGACTCTATTTCAAAATGAGAGCAAATAATTTAGCTTTCCATTTTAATTTTTAACAAATGTCTTAAATTTAAGACATTTTATAGCAATTTGTGTGCAAAATGAAGGAAAAACTTTAAATCTATTGAAGTTGGTAAGATTTTTTTTTATATAAGAAAAAGCAGCATGAATAAAATTATAATGTATCACACGAATTAAATGTTTGGCACACCACAATAAAAGGAACTTAGATTCGAAAAAAGAACATCGAAAGCAAAAGTGTTGATGTAAAATTTAAAATCATTCTTTTTTTATTTCTATCAGAAATGTTTTTTTTTTTTTTAGCAAATATTACCAGCTGTTAAATAGTGCTGAAAATCCATGAAGATATATAAACACATTTTATATTCTATGTTATTAAATAGCTACTTGAAAAAATAATTTTAAAATTTTGTCCTTTTATATGATTTAGAACAAATATCACGCGAAATGTTTTAAAAAGTACTCATCGCTAATCAATATAAAAATTCATTTTTATGCTAAAAAAACGCACAAATGATAAATTTTATCATTTTTTTCGACTGTGGATTTATATATTTTTAGAAATAATAAGGAGTTCGATATTACTTCTTCTTGCAATTTTCATGTTATGTTATAATATGTTATATATACAAATAAATTATTGTTTTTTGTTTACTATGTGACCAAAATTATCCAGACACCCTTCTTTCTAAATCATGTTAGTGTAATTTTTTTCCCTTCCTTTTTATAGTTTTGCCTGGCTTAGTTAGTTCCTGTAGTTAGAAAGGTGGTTGGACACTTAGATGTATAATGACTTTTTGCGGCTTTCCGAACTCAACTCTATAGATATCGGAGAAAGCCTATTTCTCTACCATCAGGATAATTACACCATCCGCCATCAAGACTTGCAAAGCCATGCTGCGTCGAAATGAATGTTCAGAAACTGGACTGACCTTCACTCAACGCAGTGAGTCGCGAATACTTTTTCGACAAATTATAACGTGGACTACGTAATCAGTCGAATTGACCATTCTAACTTCCAGCATTTTTAGTTGTGGCAGACATCTGAAAGTCAACTCCTATGGTTTACTGCTATTACTATTGTTTACTGCTATTAATAAATGTTACTGTTAAAGCTATGTAATAAGAAGAAAAAATGAAAAACCTGCAAATTAAATTAAATATAATAAGAAAATGCATAAATTCAACTTACCAGATTTTATTCATCCTTTCTTTTTGATCTCTTATAGATAGTTCTTCGTATACTCTAATACACTCGTGGAAATTAATTACTGAATAGTCTATATTAGACTCCACCGTGCATTCAACTTCAGTCTGTAGTACTTTAGAGTTCGAAGTAGAATTTTTATGAGAATAACACAAACAAGATTCCTCCACGGTGTCAAGCCACTTTTTAATGTAGTCATCTGTTTTAAGTTTGTCTGTATAGTTTAAGACAGCTTCTTCTGAGAAACTGGGGGTAGAAAAAAATTTCATGTTATATGAACAAAATATAAAATAATTTTATAAATATTATATGTAAGTAATCTTTAATTGTCCCACGCACTAAAGCAGTCGACGCCGTGTTGGGTGACTAACCCACTATATCTGTTTACGGCAAGCAAAAGCACTTTAAATTTATAGCCCTTGTTTTGAAATTTTTTTGTCCTATCCATAACTAAGTGGATATTAAGAGGCATTATTACTTCTCTATCTATTAGGTATAAACTTATTTGCAATATTAAATTTAACTTTGAGTAGAAGGTTAACAGTTTTAAAAGTGGGTTGCTCTCTAAAAGAATTTCATTGGTTTAATTAATTACGTTTTACCTTAGCTTTAAATATAAATCACTTTATGTTTTAAATATAATTCTGCGTTATAGAGATTCTTTCAGCTACTGTTAACGTATCATATCTTTAATCTAATATTTCGGAAGGATGGGTGCTGATGTCATAGTATAAGTTATCGGTAAATTGGAAAGTTTATGGCGATTGAACTGGGATTAAATTATTCTTTGTGTTTAAAAAAAATTTCATATTTTTCTAGTTTTTTTTTTATATTTTCTTTTTTTCAGGTCAAAATGTAGAGCCGAGAAGGAACGCAAACATGGCTTACAGCTGTTGTTCATCAAGTAACTGCTCCAAGTCACTATTTAGAATTTTTCTGTTCCTTTTGATGTAAAATCTTTTGTTATGTGTTGAATTTAAAGAAATATAGTTTGTAAATTAAATTTTCTAAACAATAAAAGCTACAAAAGTATTAGTATAGATTAAGAAAAATATATATATCTACGTACTAATTGATATGNATTTTTCTGTTCCTTTTGATGTAAAATCTTTTGTTATGTGTTGAATTTAAAGAAATATAGTTTGTAAATTAAATTTTCCAAACAATAAAAGCTACAAAAGTGTTAGTATAGATTAAGAAAAATATATATATCTACGTACTAATTGATATGCTCTGTATTATTTTCCAGTTCGTTCACGACTTTTTCAGCATTTTCGTTTTCATATTCGACGAAGCGTTGATTAGTACAACACTCTCTATGGTTTGTCATTGTTAATTCCTCAGCATCGTCTGAAGTCCTATTCTGCTGGACAGGTACTTCATCCACGTGTTTCCAATCAGTTTCAATTAAAGACCTGTATAAATATAGAGAAAAAATATTAATAGCAGAACTGCGAGTCGTGGTGGCTCAAGGAATAGAGCGTTCGCCTCCCAATAAAGTGTCTCAGATTCAAATCCCACCAGTTGTTGGTTGATACGAATGGTAGACAAGGGATCTTGGGCAGACCAAAAAAAAATATACAAAAGGATTATGGGTCAGAATCCCCTTTTCATCGGGCTAACCGAGGGAATTTTTTTTGTTGTTTTCTTCTCCATGTAACGCAAGTGCAGGTAAGTTATACATCAAATAGTCTAAATGCTTGCCTGAGTTTAGTTCAAAAATTACAAGGTTATAGAGCTGAACATTGATAGTTGTTGATTCAGAATAGGATTGGCTGTTCAACGTTGGTTATAAAATAAAATAACAGAACTGCTACTAACAATTTGATGTAAACAGAAATCCGCGATGGGTTTCTTTGTTTATCTTAATATAAGGTACCAACACATCGTTTAATGCGTCTAGATTATACAATGGTACATTTTGTGAGATCTACTCTTCATTTAGATATCACTTTAATTAGCCCATGCAAAGAGTTCCGTTAACCCATCGAACTTTATTTTAATCTAAATACTTATGTATTATAGAGTGTCTGGGAGAGGGGAAAGGGGATTTTAGTTGAATATTTAAAAAATATATATTAAAACGTACAGGAAAAATACAGATTTTCATTTATTTATTTTTTTCAGTTTTAGGGGATGTATCCCCCGGAATCTCCCGTTTAGGACATGTTCAGATTAACAGTAAAAATATTCTTTTTTCCTTCCTTTTAATCAAATTCATTGGCTACAAAATTAGTGGTAAATGAGAAACCTAAGGAAGAGTGTTTTCTGTAAAGGATAGGTGAATGGAGCATAACAGGGGTCATATTCGGAATTAGAGGGTCATCAGAAAAAATGTTGTCAGGGCTTGAAAAAAAAATTCTGCAACGCAATAAAATATACACGACTTCCGCGACCCTGATAGATCTTATTCCTTTTCCCCCACTCTCCTCTTGAATACAAAAGTTTGACGCCTGTTATTTGATACTGATCTTCCACAATTATGCTAAATTCAATGCAGCTCAGACAAAAATTTAAGTAATTATGGAAAAGTACTCCTTATAGAGAACTCTTAAGAGATCTAAATTGGAAGTGTTTGATTACTGGAAACTATTTATATTAACTTTTGAAAGTAACAGGCAAAATAACATAGATAAATTATAAGTTTTAACTATTAAATTTCGTGTTAATTACATTATATAAATATATCTCACTTAGAGAATTGACTGCATAAGCTTAATTTAAATTTCTTAAAGATAAATAAATTAATGTGGCTTAGTTAGTTCCTGTANCAATGATTTATCTAATCAATTCCGTTTAATTGCGATTAATGCATTTTTTTAACAAAAAAAACGAGGGTAAAACTTAGGATAAATGCATAAGAGATAAATATACGTACCAAAAAGAATTTCCTGCTCGTTCAGGATCTCGTTCTGAAATCTCGTAATAAGTGTGTAATGATACATCACTTTTCTTGTATGTTCTTCGGTAACTTAACTTTTCATAGATGTTGTTTATTTTTCTCCTGGTAATTTAAAATAAAGTTTAAAAAAGCATTAAATATAACAACAATTTAAAATAAATGAGAATTCAAAAAAAATTATTAATGAGGGTGGATTTGAAATTCGAGGCATTTTTGATATCCGTCAATCGAATATTTTTAATCTTTGAGCTTAATAGCCTGTTGTCTTAGATGTTGGCGATTTTTGAAAATATATACGGTTATGTGTTATTATGTATAATAAATATTATAAGAGTTTATAAAATGCTTTATTTTAAATAAATTTTTAATAACGAGCAATCCTTAAAAATTGGCTATCCAAACAACAAAATAAGTTTTTTTTCCCTACCAATTTTCAATGCGTAAAGCAACTTGAAGACACTTACTTATTTTAAAAGATGCATTTTATAAAAATTCTATGAGATATCTTGGATGCTTTTTTTTTGCTTGTTTTCCTTTTTTAATAATTTTTTGGTACATATAAATTGTTTTGAGGTTTTCGAGAGAAATGTTTGTTACCCTCAGGTCTGTTACCAAAACTAATGACTTTTCAGAATTTCTCAGTAGATGATACCTCGACTTTTTAATATATTGATTTTATGCTTCAGCATGTGGGAAAAGTCATTTTAGAAACACGGGATGAAAGATTACTTAAAAGATTTGGATGAAAGATTAAATCGAAGGTGTTAAAATTTTCAAAAAGTGAGAATTGGTTTGTTACCAAGTTTTTAAAGTTAATCATTGAGGCTTTATTGTCAAATATAAAGAAAGTCAGTTAGCCCTATCGGAACTATAATACCTTAAATCTAAAACTTTTACACCTAGCCCCGGTCTGTTCCCTGGAGACGTATTTTGTTAAGTTTAAAGATGACTTAGTTAAAGATGAATGATACAGTCTTAGCAAGTCAAAATTTTAATTCAATATTGATGATGGCCATTAAAACATTTGCAAGGCATTTACACGAATCAATGTTAATCCACAACAATGATAAATTTTAAGTTTTATTTTAATGATTTCAGTTTTAAAAATTACTAAAATTTGAAGATCAGTCAGCCCATGCGTCAAATTTGAAATTCAATCAACTGATCAACAGCATAGCCAGTCAAACTGTAGTCGAAGATGTATTTGGATACCCATTGACCGAAAAATAAACTATATAGTATAACTTTGCTCTATTTTGCAATTATTTACCCTGTATAATAAATATGAAAGCACAAATTTAAGTCAGTAATTTGCTTGTGTAACGAACGAAAGAAAAACTTTAATGCAAATCTTCTCATTAATCTAGTTATGTATTTAAAAACTTTTAAATAAGTAATTTCAGGGATGTAATGGGGTCAGAGAAGGCTTAACCTCTCAACAGGCATATAAATATATTTAATAACGTGAATGTTCATCAGCTTACATTAAGAATAAAAAAAACATCGATAGGGTTTTATTTTGATCCACATAACTTAATTAATGTAAACTGGTGATGATTTAAAAGAGAGGATTTAAATTTAGAGACGACTAAACTGATAAAAAGAGAAAATATAAGTGGCCATACTTTCAGTGCTGACGAATGATTTCTACGATTTATTTTTATATTAAGTATTGTAAATATGTAGTATTGTAAAATATAGGTATCTTAAAATATAGTGAAGGGATAATCGAAAGAATTCTAGAAGATAGAAAAATTCATTCATTAAAACTGACAATAAAGTGAGGATGATTCCTCACTTATTACATTTATTCCATTAAAAGTTTGTGCAAGTGCGTACATTTGCTATATTCTACTTGACTTTAAAATTGACTGAGAGAGAGAGAAAATGGTAAGTGCTGTGGGAAAAGAAAACCGTTTTGAAGTGAATTAATTTTCAAACATTAAAAAAACTCGAGAAAATTTGATTACTGAAAGTTGAAACTTATGAAATGTGAATGAGAAATATTATGAAAATTATAATTACATATTATATTATTATTTCTGTGCCCTCAATTGAACAAATATAACTATGCCTATTTAAATAAAAGATTTTTTAGAACTTATTCATCAATATCAATAATAAGAACCAATTCAATTGAAAACAATATTTTTTTTTAAATGTGGCTGTGTCTTAGTGTGAGTTACTAGTTAAACGGTTTTTTTTCTTTTCAAAATTGAACTGTAGTTTTTGTTACGTAATTTATTTTTTATTATATAAATTAGTTTTTTTCTGGTATTATCTTACAGTCAAGTTATATTCCTTCCTTGCAAAGCATATGTCAGTTGAGCCGAAATTAACAACCAATTATTATTTATTTATATTATATGGAAAATTTGTCATAATAATCAAATTAGGTATTATTCTTAGAAAGCAAATAATCGAGAATGAATATGGCAAAATGCATAGTTCTTCGACTTTTAATTATTTTGAAATAATAATAGCTGTAAGCTAACTTAAATGGGCAATTCCATATGTGACGGAATGACATTTTGACTTGCATGATGACAATTAATTGAAGTTTCTATGCATCTAATTTCAAATAAACATGATTTTTTCTCATGCATATCATTATTATTGGTATAATGTGATTCATAAACTAAAAAAAAAGAATTTTGTATTTTTTTTATTTTTAATTTTATGAACTTTTTACTTGTGTGACGGAATGACATTTTGGCAACCAAGCTTTCGGCATGCCGCTTAGAACTGGTAGTTTCTGTGAATTTTGCAACTATTATTTTCCTGAACTATTTTTTACTTTTAGTATAATGTGTAAGCAATGTAAATTGTGAATTTGGAAAATTAACCTCAGGTTGGCTAGCAGTTATTAACATCTATTTGCTGTGACGGAATGACCGTGACGGAATGACAAAAAGTTTAGTGGAAGAAAGTCTTCATTTAAAAAATGTTTTATTAATATGTAAATGATAAACAGAATGTAACAGATAAACAGAATTAATATTTACGTAAGAATCAGTTAAAATTTCAACAATTTGAAAATTAGGTTGTCTCAGAAGAGGTTTTATATCTAACTTGCCAATGTCACATCTTATCTTCGTTCTCAGGAAATTTATGCATAAATCAATTTTTGTCCCATGTTCTTTAAATACTTTAACATCTAAATCGTCTTTGTTTATCAAAGTAATTTGCGCTGCATATAAATGTGCCTTCTTTTTTTTCGCAGTATGGGACAATGATTAAAGAGCCGACCGCATACTCCTCAATCATATTTTCCATTTCCTCTTCAAAACAGTGGCTTTTCAAATCATACACTTGGTTTTGGTTAAAATTAGAAAGCATTCCAATTTTGATGATTCGCTTCTCAACTACATGAGCATCTAGTGCAGGTCTCTTGTTCCTGGCAATGCTAATGTAGCAAGTGTCTAGCTGAAGTCATTCTCTTTTGCCCTCTCTTAAATAGAATAGCTGGACAAAAACAAAACTTCAACGATTTGTTGCTTCGACTTTATGAAATCATAAAATTCTTTTACATATTATGTGCCGTTTTACAGCAGCCAACATCTTGTTTGGCCTTTTAGAACAACATCACAATTACATGGTATTTATAGGTGCATGTGCTGTGAGGTATTAATGAAATACACTTAACAAAAATGAGAATAAGAACAAAAATGAGATAAGACACACTTTACATCAATATATGCTTCTTTATGAAAAGCCTCTTTTAAGGCCATAAGTATATATTGCATCTGCACTCTTCGTTACTCTGTCAGAGTTTGTATTATGACTGAATCCTTCATACTTGGGGGCTTGTAACTAACATCATCTTGACAGTAAAATTTTTTTAACCAAATTAAACAGCTCATCAACATTACTTTTCTCACTTAGTTTCTTTTGAGTTCGATGTTAAATACTTCTCACATAAAGACTGAATTAATTTTTTTACCTCTATTGGTGATTTTGGAAGTGAGTGTACAATTTTTTTTATGGTGAGTGTACAAATTTTTTTATGGCTTTACCAAGACTCTGCAGGAATTTGTATAGGGAATTTAAATTATTTGTATGTGAAGAGATTGGTAGAATTTGATTTTTTCTTTGTTTACACAATCTCTGCACAACAGCGTTTGCACTTCTGAGTTTTTTAAGTCCAACTTTTGTCGCGGAAGCTTTCTTCTCTGCCTTTCTTTCTCTGTTTTTTTTCTTCATCATATCATGGGGATCTTGGTCTTTTTCAACATTTTATCTGTCTTTCAACAGCTGTTTTAGCCATTAGGTTAATTGAAAAAAAAATAATTCCCTAGTTTTTGACTAAGCTTCTCAAGGACTCGTTTTGTCATTCCATCGCCGAAGATGTGTCATTCCGTCACGCTAATTATTGGAAGTTAATAATCAAATGCATAGAATTTTACAATTTCTCATTGATTCTTATGCCACATCTGCTTTATATTCCAAAATATACACATTTTCATTCAAAAACGCAGTTGCTATTTAAAAAAATATACTAAAACATGTGACGGAATGACACAAAAAAAAGTTACTTTTATTTAATATATTAAACTTAAAATGACTTAAAGGCTATGTTTTAAATGTTTAAATTTTGTACTATATGCATATTTTTATCAAAATATTGCAAAAGAAAGATACATTTCTTTTATTTTATAAGTATTTTTCAAGAAAACAATTTGAGCACAAATGTGAAGAATTCACTTGTCAGCCATGTGATTACTTTAGAATGCTGTCAGATTCAAAAAACTTAAAATTATCAAAAATTAAACAGTAATATGTAGACTTTGGCTATTTTTGAACATATTTTTAAAATTAAAATATGCAATTCATAAAAAAAAAAATTTCACTTAAAAGTTGACACTTTCGTGGAATTGCCCAAATACAAATACATAAAAAAAGTAAAATAAGAAAAATCGTTACAGACAAAACAAAACAAACAGATTTTTTCTATAGAAAAAGGTTTTTTAAAGCTCTGGTAAATGTATATGAATTTATATTCAAGCATAGTTTTAAAATGTGGTGGCCCAGTAACCGCATATTGAAAACAGAAAAAATAATTATTAAGAGCTTTTGTGTATTTAGTTTCTATGCTGAATGTAAATGATATAGAGAAATTTCAGATCTTAAATATCTCTGATAAGACCAGTTCTTATAATTTAGAGCTAATTAATAAATTGAATTGGTGTTCTTATGCTAATTAATAACTAAACTTGAAAATATTAATGAAAATAATCGTTGCCATTCATTGAGATTCTTATTGTTGGGACAAAATGAGACATAACATAGAATAAGCTAAAAAACGCTAAGGAATAAAAAAAATTAAATCTCTGCAAAAGTATGATTAGTGATATTTTCAATTTACAATTAATTACAGCAAATTATTTACAATTTGATGGGGGGGGGGAAATAAACAAATATTTTTTATTCCTCAGAAATATAAAAAATACAAATTTATAAAAAGTAGTTTGTTTGTTTTTTCTTAATATTCAGTCGATTTGATTTTAAAATAAATATATATATAAAGGTATTTGAAAGAAAAGAATATAGAAGGGTAAAAAAATTACAAAGCTTAATTTTTATACTTCTTGAATACAATTTGCAAATAAATGGAAAGAAACATTTATTCTTCAATCATTCTATGCCCCCAATGCTTCGAACCATACTTTTTGCTTAAAGAATTCCGCTTTAAAGAACGATGCATAAATAGAATTAAAATGAACTAGAACTTATATGAGACATTTGTTGATTATATTTCAAGTCAAATGAAATAAATAAAATCTTTAACACCTATACATTTATATTTATTGTTAAACATGCAGAATGGCTCCATGGTTTCCATGCGGCTCCATGGTTTCAGAATTGAATACAATTGTATTGGTTTCATATTCAGAATTGAATACAATTGTATTGGTTTCATATTCAGAATTGAATACAATTTATAAATGTAAAAGGAAATAAACGTTTTTTTTTTCATCATCCTATGTACCCAATGTTTCAAACTATGCTTTTTCCTTAAAGAATTTAGTTTTACAAATTTATATAAAAATATAATTAATTTGAATTAGAGCTTGAAAAAGATATTTGTTAATTTTATTTGAATTTAAATGAAATAAATAAAATTTTCAACATCGATATTAATTGTTAAACATGTAGAATTAGTCACTAACGTACGTTTTTTAAATCGAATTTCACTATGCAACCCCATGGTTTGTGGAAAATTAATCTTTAATGTTATTATATTTGTACTTTTATGTATTTAATAAAAGCAGCAGTGCAATTTCTGTGGTAAATTATCAATTTAAAGCAAATTACAAATATTATAAGAAATAGACAACTAAAAACCAAGAAAAGAATCTTGAGTTCAAATTATGAAAAAACCTTTTCATGTGCAAATAATATTTTTATTTTCTATAGAAACACAAAAATAATATTTTAGACCAAGTTCGAAATATTATCAAGCTTATCACCAAGTTAATCAAAAACAGGATCAAATCGGCATGATCAACGTTGAAAAAGTAATAATAAAAATAAATTCTTAATAATAATTATTAATTAATCAATAATTACAAACAGTCCTCAAAACTTTTATAGTTTTATATTTTTATTAAGTTTCAAGAATATCTTAATAATTATTATCAGTATTATAATACCAAAGAGCGTCATAATTTTATTAATATAACTTTATTAAAATATTTGGAATCCATTTTTTTTTTCAAATGAAAAGGAGAATGAAAAGTTTTCAAAAAGTTTTCAGCAATAAAAGAATTTAAAATTCATTTAATTATGAATGACAGATATCATTGCTAACCGAAAANAAAAACAGGACCAAATCGGCATAACCAACGTTGAAAAAACAATAATAAAATTAAATTCTTAATAATAATTATTGATTAATTAATAATTGCAAGCAGTTCTCAAAACTTTTATATTTTTATTAAGTTTCCAAGATTATCTTAATAATTATTTTCTGTATAATAATACCAGAGAGCCTCACAATTTTATTCATATAAATTTATTAAAATATTCAGAATAAATTTTTTTTTCAAATTAAAAAAAAACTGAGTTTTCAAAAAATTTTCAGCAATAAAAAATTTAAATTTCATTTAATTATGATTGACAGATATCATTGCTATCCGAAATCTTAATCAGTCTTAAACGAAAATACTTAGAGTGCATTTCTTTCAAATTAAAACCAGATTATTTCATTATTGCCTGATTATTCAATATTAATTTCATTAACTTACCTTTCCATAGACAATCGATTCCCCATTTTTACTTTGCTGAAATACTAATAAAGAAATGTGCCTCAGTCGACAGTTGTACAGAGCCGTAGATGGAACACGTACTATGCAAGTTTGTTAGAATTGAACTGGTTGTTACTAGGCTCTCTAGTTGTTACTATCTCTGTTGTGAAGTAAATGTGGACCCTCAGCTGAATCTTATCTGAGTGGGCGTAACGGAGGATATGGATTACCTATAGAGCACGGTACTATGGATGAAAATTGACTATACTGTATTGTTCAAATTCAAAGGCTAAAACCTGTTTGCCATTCAAACTACTAGTTATGATTGACGATGAACTTCTTCTAAGAATCCATTCTGGAAAATTGATGGTTTGTTTTGTGGTATATACTCTTAACATAAAACAATTCAAGAGTATTTAATATGTTAATCGGTTAAAGAGGTTCCTGGAGAAAAAGAAGGTTCCCCTGTAAAAACAAATCAGTACCCCCTAAGAAAAATGAGGCACATTTTTTTTCTTTCGAGTCTTCTTTCTTTTCAGGGGAGGAGATGCTTTTTTAAAATTTCTCTATAAATTATTACTATTTTTTTAATTACATTTTTTAAGAAAGGATATAATTGTTTAATATAAATTTTGACATAACTTTTATATACATTATTAATATAAATTGATATTGATTTATCTTAACATTAAATGTATGCCTTAACTATATTAAAAATTGTATTATTTAGATAAAAATTAGCCGCATTTTAGTTATATTTGCATTTTTATGTGTAACAAATGATTAAGTAATCAAATTAAGGACTAATCAATACTGATCATTTGGTACAAGTGTGAAAAAAAATTTAAAAAAGATGGCAATTTAAGTAGATTTATTTTAATATTTTGAATAATAAACCTAAAAAACCAATTATGAGCTGTATGTATTAAACAATAAACTTCTGATATAGGAGATTATTTTTGAAACAGTAATGTTTACATATTTCGAATTTTGTTGTTACATAAATTCAAGCGAGAGAGACTTTCCTATTAATTAAAAAAAGCCTTTTTCAGTCTATTATAGACTGTAATTTTAAGTTAAAATTAGTTTAATTTAAATTTTACTTTCTTTTTTAAGCAACAAAATATTATTATAGTTCATTGTATCACTTGTACTCAATCCTTCACGGTGCTAGTTTAAGCAAAAGTATTAATTAAAAACAAAAGATACTTTTAAAATTAGTTTATCACCTAAATTAAAGATAAAAGCTCAAAATTTTAAAAACACTTCTTGTGTTGAAAATAATGAGTAGTAAGTTCTTCTGACACATTGGACCACCCAGTCTTAACAACTCTCTCCTTACATAATAAAACATAAATACCATGTATTACAAAAGCATTCATGGGCACTGATATTTGCATGTTGGGTGGTATGAATCGTTTCTCTACAGGTAAAAACTGACAAGCATTATTTTAAAACACCTGTGATGTAGTTAACTGCATAAGACATGAATGATTTTCGGAATGAATAGTGAATACTGCCTCTTTACAACTGATAAGAAGCAGTAAGAGATTTATGAATAACTATTCAATGAATAGCTGTTATTAATTTTGACAGTTATTTCAAGTTTAAAAAAGATAAGCTTGCACCTGGAAAGATGTTTAATTTTGAATTATTAAGCTTCCTTATCACTACGAAAATTCTAAGAAATTTAAGTAAATTCTTTTAAAAATGAATTCCTGGTATTTTCATTTTAACACAAATATGTTACGCCAATAAAAATTAAAGAATGTTTTGACTTAAAAATAATAAAGATTATAGCTAAAATTACCTAAGAGTCTTTAAAAAAGTTTTGATAGCTTTCATTTGTAGTTTAATTAATTTTGAATTCTTTGATAACTAAGGAATTTCTAAATACTCATGTTTTCATTTTAGGCAAATGGATTTCATGTATTTCCGTTTAAGACTGATTTTTTAAATCAAAGTTATTATACTAATAAAGTTATAAGCAACACGTGCATTATAATTCTGAACCTAATTCTTCATATAATCTTGGAAACAATTAAAATATAAAACTATAAAAGTTTTGAAAGTTTATAAATGAAAAATAATTAAAAAAGTTCTAAGCAAAACTAAGCAATTTCAAAGAACTCAAGAATCGTTATTTTGCTTAAAAAAATTCATTTGAAATACTTTATACAAATTTATACTTTACTTCACATTTGTACTTTATACAAAATTTTTATGCTTTGTACATAATTTTATTAATCTAGAGCTCTCTGACATTCTAAGAAATTTCTAAGAACTAAAAAACAGATATGCTGTTATTTTAAAAAAAAAAAAAAAAAAAATTCCAAATATTTCCATTTTAAAGCAAATATGCTATAATACTTAAAATGATAAAGCGCTTACACTTCAAAAATAATCCTAGATGACTTAATACTTTGAGATAATTTAATGCTCGTTTAAGTTATTTCCGATACTTAATTAAAGATGCAAATAGGAACTATTTGATAAAAAAAATATTAATATTAAATTTTTGATAGCAGTAATTCAAAATTTAATTCATTTTATATTCTCTGGCCAACGAAGCACTTTTTTAAAAACAAAAAGTAGACTATTTAATTGAAACTTTTATTCCAAATATTTTCATTTTAAAATAAGTATGTAACACTAATATAAATAATAAGGCATATATAGAAACAGGCAAGGTTGTAGAAACAGTAAATGTAATTGTTAAGAAATATATAACTGTGAAAATATCGGTATCTGTTTTATGTAATTTAATCAATGTTTGCGTGGTTAAGCTCATATAACTTAGTTTCATTTTTTTGTTATTAAGAATAGTAATTAATGAATACTTATTATTAAGAATTTTTTAAAAAGTAATCATTTCTTAAAATATATGTTAAGTAATTAAACATAAAAAAGAATTTCAGTATAAAAATGTTTGGAAATTACCAAAAAATTTCTATGTAATTATTGCTGCGTGTTATAATCAATTATATTTTATTTTTATAAAAAATAAATTTAATTTAGAATCTTTTTAACCGTCTTAAACGAAAGGGTTTGGCGAAAATTTAGAAATTCTAGGTAAAATCATAAAAAAGTTTTTTTTTTCTCTTAAAAAAAAGTATTAACACATAATTTTGAAAACCGATGTTCGGATCACAATTAATCCATATGGTGAATTTTGTTTGGCTGAAAGACATTTTGTGGGTTGTACTTGCGCAGAAGACGTCTGCGCAGAAACTTGATCCAGTTTCAGCGAAACTCCAAACTTCAATCCACTTTACTCGAAACGCATTTAGTTTACAAATACATTAGTGAAACAAATATTGATAACAGTTTAGTTAGTTTAATTTGGAAATTGTAGAGTAATATAAATTAAAATTTCTTATAATTATTTGAAACGCATATTGATTTTGAAATGTTTTATTCAAGAAACAATGTACTCTAATGATTTATTTTTCATGAGTAATTTTGCATTACATCTTAAAAAAATAGTTCCTTTGTATAGCAGATCAGTTTTATAAATAAGTTCTATCATGTATTATCATTATTAGTAATTGTTATAACAAAATATGTGTTAAAATTTAGAATTATTTAGTTTTGATTTAATTTTTTTAAGGTTGAAATAATTTGAATATAAAAAAGAAATTGAGGAACAGTATCTTCTCATTAACAAAATTAGAAATTGTAAGTAGCACAAATTTCAATTTTTCCCATATTTTTATTTCTGAATGAAAAAAAAAATTGATTTCGATAAATAAATTTCTGTTATCAAATAACAAGATAAATAAATTTTAAATGTTATAACTTATCATCGAATGACGTTTTTCGTAAGGATGAAATCATAATCACACGAATAGTTTTAGAACAAATAATGTTTAAAAAAGAATAACAAACCAATAAATCTAATAATGTTTATAAACAAACGTTCGCTATGGGCATATAAATCTTACTAATAATAGATATATTGTAAAACAAATTTCGTTTAAAACGCTCTTTTTGTTGTTTCAACTGGTATTATAATTGCCAAATTTCCAAACTCAGTAACTGAAACCGGCACCAAAATATCACAGAGACTATTATAGGGAATTAATAATTATTACAATAATTAATAATAGTTTTAGTAGCAAGTCAGTGAGAGGTGAAGCCGGAAATAGTACGTATGTTAAAAACAGACAAATAAATTATTTAACTAGCAAATGAAGTTTAAGTATTTTAACGAGTATTTTAAATTAATAAATATTCTTAAAAAAATAAAATTGGAATTTTTTTAAAATAGTTGAAAATATCATTAACATTTCATTCTTTATTTAAAGTAATAATATTTGCAAGCGTATGTAAAATGCAAGCGTATAACGTACATTGAAACAANAAAAAATAATGTTTAAAAAAAATAACAAACCAATAAATCTAATAATGTTTAAAAACAAACGTTCACTATGCCACATCATCGAATGACGTTTTTTGTAAGGATGAAATCATAATCACACGAATAGTTTTAAAACAAATAATGTTTAAAAAAAATAAAAAATCAATAAATCTAATAATGTTTATAAACAAACGTTCACTATGAGCATATAAATCTTACTAATAATAGATATATTGTAAAGCAAATTTTGTTTAAAACGCTCTTTTTTTTGTTTTAACTGGTATTATAATTGCCAAATTTCCAAACTCAGTAACTGAAACCTGCACCAAAATATCACAGAGACTATTATAGGGAATTAATAATTATTATAATAATTAATAACAGTTTTAGTAGCAAGTCAGTGAGAGGTGGAGCCGGAAATAGTACGTATGTTAAAGACAGACAAATAAATTATTTAACTAGCAAATGAAGTTTAAGTATTTTAACGAGTATTTTAAATTAATAAATATTCTTAAAAAAATTAAATTGGAATTTTTTTAAAATAGTTGAAAATATCATTAACATTTCATTCTTTATTTAAAGTAATAATATTTGCAAGCGTATGTAAAATGCAAGCGTATAACGTACATTGAAACAAGTGTGACAAATTATAAACTGATTACTTATATAAATGGAATAAAGTTACCTGAAACATTATACCACATCAAAATTAATCTCCAAACCTTTTATAGTTTAAAAATTAATTGTATCGATGCACAAGCTTTTCTTAATTCACAATTTGTTTTCAT